ATCACCCAGATTCATAAAACAAATGTTTACTAGACCTAAAGAAAGAGACAGCAAAACAATCCTGTTTTGATTGTGGACTTCAACATTCCACTCACAGAACTAGGCAGATTATTGAGACAGAAAATTAACAAAGAAACACTGAACTTAAATTGGACTTTGGACCAAATGGACTTAACAAACATTTACAGAACATTCAACCCCAAAACTACAGAATGTACATCTTTCTCATCAGCACATGGAACATTCTTCAACACAGACCATATGTTAGGTCACATAATAAGTCTCAACAAATTTTTAAAAACTGAAAACAAATCAAATATCTTCTTAAGACCACAACGGAATAAAACTAGAAATCAATACCAAGAGGAAATTTAGAAACTATACAAATACATGGAAATTAAACAACATATTCCTGAATGATCATAGAGTCATGACAAAAATTTAAAACATTTTTTGAAGTAAATGAAAACGGAAACACAACATACCAAAACCTGTGGGATACAGCAAAATCAGTGTTAAGAGGGAAGTTTATAGCGTTAAATGCCTACATGAAAAAAGTGGAAAGCACTTTGTGAGGCTGAGACAGGAGGACTGCTTGAGCCCAAGAATTTGAGGCTGCAGTGGGCTATGATGATGCCACTACACTTCACCCTGGGCAACAGAGTGAGACCCTGTCTCTCTCTCTATTAAAAAAAAAAAAAAAAAAAAAGTAAAATGATCACAACTTAACATCACATTTCAAGAAACTAGAAAAACCATAACAAACCAAACCCCCAAGGTTAGCCAAAGAAAATAAGTAACAAAGATCAGATGAGAACTAAATGAAATAACCCCCCTATTCCCCAAAATACAAAGCATCAATGAATTGAAAAACTGGTTCTTCAAAAAGACAAAATAAATCGCTAGCTAGCTTAAGAAAGAAGATCCAAATAAACAAAATCAGAAAGGAGACATTACAACTGATACGACAGAAAAAACAAGGGATCATCAGAGACTATTATGAGCAACTACACTTCCACAAACTAGAAAACCTAGTTTGTGGAATTCCTGGAAACATACACCCTCCCAAGATTGAACCAGGAAGAAACAGAAATCCTGAACAGACCAATGAGTAGTGAGAATGAATCAGTAAGCAAAAAAAAAAACCCCACAGGACAAGATGGGTTCACAGTCAAATTCTACCAAATGTACAAAAATAAATAAATAATAAAACAAAAACTTATACCAATCATCCTGAAACTTTCCAAAAATCGGAGGGGGGAATCTGCCCTAAATTATTCTATGAGGCCAGTATCACCCTGATACCAAAACAAGGCAAAGACACAACAAAAGACAAAAGCTATAGACTAACATCCCTTATAAATATAGATATAAAAATCCTCAACAAAATACTAGCAACAACAGCACATCAAAAAGATAAAATATCAGGATCAACTGGGTTTTATACTAGAGATGCAAGGACGGTTCAACACACGGAATTTAAAAAAATATGATATATCACACAAACATAGCTAAGGACAAAAACCATATGATTATCTCAAAGGAAGCAGAAAAAGCATTTGATAAAATTCATCATCACTTCATGATAAAAATCCTCAACAAACTAGGCACAGAAGGAACATACCTCAACATAATAAAGGCCATATACAATAAACCCACAGCCAACATCATACTAAACAGGAGAAAGTTGACAGCATTCCAAGAACTGGAACAAGTCAAAGATGCCCACTTTCACCACTTCTATTCAACCTAGTACTGTAAGTCCTAGACAAAGTAATCATGCAAGAGAAAAAAATAAAAGGCACCCGAACTGCAAAAGTTAAATTATTCCTGTTTGCTGATGATATGATCTTATATCTAGAGAACCCCAAAGACTTCACCAAAAGACTCTTAGATTTGATAAACGACTTCAGTGAAGTGTCAAGATACAAAATCAACTTTAAAAAAATCAACAGCATTTCTATATACCAATAAGGAATAAGCTGAGAAACAAATCAAGAAGGCAATCCCACTTATAATAGCTAAAAAAGAAATAAAATACCTAGGAGTATATTTTTAACCAAGGAGGTAAAAGATATCTACAAGGAAAACTAAAAAACACTGACAAAAGAAGTTGTAGATGACACAAACAAATGGAAAAACATCCCAGGTTCATGGATCAGAATAATTAAAATGACCATCCTGCCAAAAGCAGTCTACAGTTTCAATGCAATCCCTATCAAAATACCAATATCATTTATCACAGACTTACAAAAAACAATCCTAAAACTCGTGGCTCACTGAACCTTTTTTTGGAACAAAAAAATAGCCCAAGTAGCCAAAGCAATGAGATGGAGTCTCACTGTTGTTACCCAGGCTGGAATGCAATGGCACGATCTCAGCTCACTGCAACCTCCACCTCCCGGATTCAAGCAATTCTCCTGCCTCAGCCTCCTGAGTGGCTAGGATTATAGGCACCCTCCACCATGCCTGGCTAATTTTTTGTAGTTTTAGTAGAGACAGGGTTTCACTATGTTGCCAGGTTGGTCTCAAAACTCCTGACTTCGAGATCCGCCCGCCTCAGCCTCCCAAAGTGCTGGGATTACAGGTGTGAGCCATGGCGCCCAGCCAGTCAAAGCAATTTTAAGCAAAACCAACAATGCTACAGGCATCACATTACCTGGCTTCAAATTACACTATAAGGCTGTAAAACCCAAACAACATGGTACTGGTCTAAAAACAGACACATACATTAATGCAACAGAATAGAGAACCCAGAAATAAAGCCACATATCTACAACCAACTGATCTTTGACAAAGCTGACAAGAACATACATGGAGGAAAGAGCAGTCTTTTCAAAAATGGTGCTGGAAAAATTAGATTGCCATATGCAGAATGAAACAATATCTCTCACCTTATATAAAAATCAACTAAATGGATTAAAGACTTAAATTTGGGACCTACATTTATAAAAATACAAGAAGAAAACCTAGGCAGTACTCTTCTGGACACTAGTCTAGGTAAATAATTCATGACTAAAACCTCAAAAGCACAGGTAACAAAAACCACCAGGCTTGGCTAATTTTTGTATTGTTTTGGTAGAGACAGGGTTTTGCCATGTTGCCCAGGCTGATCTCGAACTCCTGAGCTCAAACAATTCTGCCTGCCTCAGCTTCCCAAAGTGCTTGGATTACAGGTGTGAGCCACCATGCCTGGCCTTCCAAATCCTTGTAATGCTTTTGTTTTCTTAAGGTTTTTTTTTTCCCCTTTAACCTTAATTATGCATTACTTTACAACTAGGGGAAAAAGAAAGGCTACAAATTTTTTAAAAATTAATCAGTTGTCCAAAATAGGCCTAACATCGACAAGTTCAATAACACTAAAGCATTGCTAATGTCTAGTGCAAATAAAAGCAAGTTGCTGTAAATATATAATTGCCTTATTAAATCTAATTACCTCACACTTTCTGGATCCTAACCAAACTTTCAAAAAACTCCATTAAATTTTGGCAAATACCCCTGGGGTAGTTTATGAAAACATCCAAATGAGACTACTATCACTAGGGAGTAATTTATCTAATGATGAGGACTATCACATCATCTTACCTTTCAGCTAAATTGAAAGCATCTCTAGAAACAGATGATGATCTTGTATTTCCAACACTGCCAGTATGAGATCGTCTTCCTTTTGCTGAAGGAGTATCTAATGGTATGTCCCCCAAACCCTGCAAGTAAAATACAAAATTAGTATGATACAAATTTTAAAACTAGTAGTGAAATAACTTACACAATGTAATTTTCAAAGTAGCCATCACTGATTTTTTAAGATGGAAAGTATTTTAATAATCTGGTATGCTTATGCTTTAAAGAGTATGAGATACATAAAACACCTTGTAATTAGCAGTAAATTAACAAAATATGTGACTAATGGGAAAATATATATTGACTTATAAAAAACGAGTTAAAAACTAAAAATCAATATGCTATATTTTGGGCTGGGTGTGGTGGCTCACGCCAGCACTTTGGAAGGCTGAGGCAGGTGGATCATCTGAGGTCAGGAGTTAGATACCAGCCTGGCCAACATAGGGAAACCCTGTCTCTACTAAAAGTACAAAAATTAGTTGGGCATGGTGGTATAATCCCAGCTACTCAGGAGGCTGAGGCAGGAGAATCCCTTGAACCCGGAGGCAGAGGTTGCATTGAGCTAAGATCGCACCACTGCACTCCAGCCTGAGCAACAGAGCATGACTCTGTTTCAAAATAATAAATAAAATAATAAATATGCTGTATTTTGTAACTACTCTTCTTGAAGCTTAAAATCTATGTAGAACATATAAACACAGTCCATAAACACTGAACACTGTTGTACCTATGCAACATTAGGAGTGTGAGAATAAACATTTTGATGAGAACTATTTAAAACCTTTCCTGCACTGGAAAGACTCACAGATACAATCTGCTTTGTTTTAGTCAGATTTTTTTTTTGCATGGTTATATTAATAAGTTCTAATATGAACTAAGCTGAAATCTTCAAGTTCAATGGGCAGAAAAAAATGCTCTAAAATGTCTACTGCTACATATCTTTTTAATATTATTCCTTCATAAGTGAATCCTTAGCCCAAGGGCATCAGAGAAAAATGACATAAATTACAATAGAAAAATTTTACTTTATTAAACATATTTTTAAAACAATATATAAATAGATTACTTTTTATATTTTATTTCACTTGGTATTCTCTGAGTCACTCATTTCACAGACATTACTGAATTCCCATTATTTACCAAGACGATAAGACATGGCACGGCTAGGCGCGTTGGCTCACGCCTGTAATCCCAGCACTTTCAGAGGCTGAGGCAGGCAAATAACCTGAGGTCAGGAGTTCAAGACCAGCCTGGCCAACATGGCGAAAACCCCATCTCTACTAAAAAATATAAAAAATTAGCTGGGCATAGTGGCGGGTGCCTGTAATCCCAGCTACTTGAGAGGTTGAGGCAGGAGAATCGCTTGAACTTGAGAGGTAGAGGTTGCAGTGAGTTGAGATCATGCCACTGCACTCTAGCCTGGTGACAGAGCAAGACTCTGTCTCAGAAAAGACAAAAACAAAAACAAAGACATGGCACTTACCCTCAAGGAGCTCCCTATAAATGTTCTGCAGTGTGGTAATAGCTCTAATAGTGGAACATACAAGGTAAATAAAGCAGGGACTAAGCATGGTAAACATTATTATCCTCATTTTACAAAGTGAGAATTCTAGTTAGAGAAATGAAGAGGCACGCGTAAGTTACACAGTTGCTAACTGTTAGAGCTGCGATTCAAACCCATGTCTTGTTAACTCCAATAAGCCAAACTACATTCTACCAAACATCAAGCTTCTGTTCAATAAACATTTACTTCCAAGGCTTGACAATATGTATGTCTACTTAGTATTCTAGTTGTTGAAATGCTATTGCAGATATAGTCCAAATGATTAACAGAGAAATAATCAAATAAATAATTATTCCTATCCTTTACCTGGATGTAAAAACAAGCTTTGCTGGTGAAACCCCGTCTCTACTAAAAAATACAAAAAACTAGCTGGGGGAGGTGGCGGGTGCCTGCAGTCCCAGCTACTCGGGAGGCTGAGGCAGGAGAATGGTGTAAACCCGGGAGGCAGAGCTTGCAGTGAGCTGAGATCCAGCCACTGCACTCCAGCCCGGGCGACAGAGCGTCTCAAAAAATAAATAAATAAATAAATAAATAAACAAGCTTTGCTTATAAAGTTGTTCATAAAACAAACTTTTTCCACATACCTTTTGCTGTAAGTTTCTAACAGAGTCCTTAATATATGGCAAATCTTTAGATGGAACATACTTTTCAAGCATTTTTTCAAAGTTAGGATGACACATCATGAAGAACAGCATCTTTCGACCATAATACCTATGAGTATTTGAAAAATAGGCATACTACTTTTTAGACATTAACAAGCTCAGTTTCTGACCTTAGATGCATTGTTTTCAATAGAAAAAAAAACAAAACAAAACTATCAAACATCAAGATTAGCATCCCTATTTTAAGTAACCACCAAAATATAGATATCCTAACTGTATAGGATGCCCTAGAGGGTACAGATGGTCCCCAACTTAAAATGGTTTGACTTATAATTTTTCAACTTTATAATACTGTGAAAGAGATATGATTCTGTGGAAACCATACTTCAAATTTTGATTTTTTCCATGGCTAGTCATATGCAGTATGACACTCTCTTGAGACGCTGGGCAGCAGCAGTGAGCTACAGCTCCCAGTCAGCCACGTGATCACCATACTCTACAATGTACTGTGTTGCCAGATGATTCTGTCCAAGCGTAGACTAATGTAAATGTTCTCAGCATGTTTAAGGTAAGGCTTGGCTATGTTATGATGCTTGGTAGGTTAGATGTATTAAATACACTTTTGGCTTCTGATAATTCCTATTCATGATGGGTTGTGGGGATATAACCTCATTGTAAGTTAAGAAGCATCTGTGACCAAGCGCAGTGGCTCACGCCTGTAATCCCAGCACTTTGGGAGGCCGACGTGGGTGGATCACAAGGTCAGGAGTCCGAGATCAGCCTGGCCAACATGGTGAAACTTCATCTCTACTAAAAAAATACAAAAATTAGCCGGACCTGGTGGCGCACTCAGGTAATCCCAGCTGAGGATTTAGGAGGCTATTTAGGAGGCTGAGGCAGGAGAATCATTTGAATCCAGGAGGTGGAGGTTGTAGTGAGCCGAGATCACGCCACTGCACTCCAGCCTGGGCAATAGAGAGAGACTCCTTCTCAAAAAAAAAAAAAAAAAAAAAAGGCATCTGTTGGGATGCTCCCATAATCCCCTTTTAAAGTCACTATCTTCAAATCCTTCTGCCACGTGTTAGATGGAGAAACAAAAGCTCTGATTCTATTTTTCAGGCACCCCAAGGTCCATATCAATGCTGGTGTTTGGAAGAACTGTGAAGTTTGTCTCTGTCGTGGGCTCCTTGCCCACTGACCATTTGCTGTCCACCTACTGGACAGATGTTCTGGCCTAAGTCAACCCTCCCTAGGTCCTGTATTTCTCACTCTCTGTTTTTCCCTAGCCAAAACTTACCAGGGTTCCGATTCTTCAAAATCCTATTCTTTACTACTGAAAATACACCCAAGGTTCGTTGATAAATTGTGGCTGATTTGTTAATAAAGGTAATAATCTCAAAAACTATGTTTTTATATTTATATGAATTTAAAAATAATCATCTTAGCATAATACTTTAAGCCCAATGATTCTAATGGTGGAAATTCAGATATCATGGAAGTGCATACTGGAGATATTTTAGCACACAGATGTCTTATACTACTTCAAAATAGTACCACACTATTCATCTTCAAGGAGGCCGGGCCCTAAAATAAATTAGTTAGACTTTTACTCACAACTTGGAATACATGGCACAAAAAGAACCAGAGAAGAGGCTAGGCGTGATGGCTCATGCCTGTAATCCCAGCACTTTGGAAGGCCAAGGCAGGCAGATCACTTGAGGCCAGGAGTTAGAGACCAGCCTGGCCAACATGGCGAAACCCCGTCTCTACTAAAAATAGAAACATTAGCCAGGCGTGGTGGCACATGCCTGTAATCCCAGCTACTCAGGAGGCTGAGGCACGAGAATCGCTTGAACCTGGGAGGTGGAGGCTGCAGTGAACCGAGATCGCACCACTGCACTCCAGCCTGGGTAACAGAGTCTTGGAAAAAAAAATAATAATAATAAAGGAACGAGAAAAAGGCAGGCTGTTGTGGGGTTTTGTGGATGGGGGGATACAGGATGATCTTAAGACCACCTGTCTTGACCAGGTGCAGTGGCTTACACCTATAATCCCAGCACTTTGAGAGGACAAGGTGGGTGGACTGCTTGAGCCCAAGAGTTCAAGACCAGCTTCAGCAACACGGCAAAACCCCATCTCTACAAAAAATACAAAACTTAGCCAAGCATGGTGGCATGCGCCTGTAGTCCCAGCTACTTGGGAGGCTGAGGTGGGGGGATCACTTGAGCTCAAGAGGCTGAGGTAGCAGTGAGCCGAGATTATACCATTGTACTCCATCCTGGGCTACAGAGCAAGACCCTGTCTCCAAAAAGAAAAAGATCACATATCTCAACCTGACCCCTTCAAATGTAATGAAATTGCAGAAAGAGAAGTGATGTCAGAGAATCAATATTACCTTTCTCCACAAGCAGAATAAGGTCTATATCCAGATAAGTAGCTCCTAATCAGTTATATTTTCAAGGGCAATTCTAATGTTTAGCCTGGAATGTTAAGCACTCTATTATATGGGCCCAATGGTCTATTACACGGTCTATTATACGGGCCCAAGGTCTATTATACGGGCCCAATGACATGAGAAAGGCTAAAACACACAAGTAAGTGGAGACCAGGGACACAAAATGTGAGAAATACAAAACTCAAAAATTAATTGTAACCATTTTATAATTTTAAATAAGAATCTAAGAAATGACAAAATGGGCTAGAAAGAATTACTATGCCATTAAGGAAAGGTTAAGTAAAGAAGCACACAAGATGGACATTAAGAAATCTTTTTTTTTTTTTTAACAAGGTGATAGAGAGGGAGAAAAGAACATCTTTTGTTCCTGACTAGCCTATCATGATCTAACCCTCTTGAATTTTTTTGAATATTAATGGGATATGTGGAACTTTCAAATGGTTCCCCAAAGAGGTCCTGCTTCAATCCCTACAATTTGTGAATATATTAAGATATCACTCCCAAGATTATGTTATATCACATAACACAGTTAACCTTAAAGTAATGACATGATCTGGTGGAATTAATCTAATAAAATGAGCCCTTAAAAGCAGAGAGCTTTCTGGCCGGGTACAGTGGCTCACACCTATAATCCAGCACTTTGGGAGGCCAAGGCAGGCGGATCATGAGGTCAGGAGATTGAGACCGTCCTGGCTAACATGGTGAAACCCCATGTCTACCAAAAATACAAAAAATTAACCAGGTGTGGTGGCAGGCGCCTGTAGTCCCAGTTACTTGGAAGGTTGAGGCAGGAGAATCGCTTGAACCCAGAAGGCGGAGCTTGCAGTGAGGCAAGATCACGCCACTGCACTCCAACCTGGGCAACAGAGCAAGACTCTGTC